CGGACAGGGACGTCCCTTCGCTGAACGCGCTGAAGTCCCGGAGCGGAAGGGAGAAGCGGGGGAGGGCCCGCGTGGGGGGGGGCTAAGGGGTGAACCACTTAGCCGGGCGTAGGGCGTGGGAAGGGCGCAAAGAACCAGGCGGAGGGGGCGTGAAGATCGTCTGGAGCCGAGAGGCCGCAAGGATGAACGCTCGCGTGCGTTGTTCTCATGTGCCCAAAGGACGGCAGATTCTTTCTTTCGAGGAAATAGGCTGTGTGGCTTGCAACCGTTTTAGCAATTCCCCTCTTTCCTGTCTTCGCCCCTGACGAATAGATCGTAGAACATGGAGAGGAGACTCAGCCTGACATACTCAGGCTAGCGTTGCTGAAAGCGAGAGATAGAAGTTCCAGCCTTCGTTCCTCACACTATTTGCTTAGGAAACTAAAGCGTTATGCAAAACCATGGTCTATGTCAGAGTTCCTCAACCTTGGCCACTTTAAGAGGTGTGGACTTCAACTCCCAGAATTCTTAAAGTGGCCATGGTTGAGGAACCCTGGTCTATGTTATTGGTTCAACCTGGGCATTCCTAAAGTGGGAATACTACAAATCCCAGAATGCATAGAATTCTTGAAAGTGTGGATCCGTAGAGTACAGAGGTTGTGCAAACGGCTTTCAGAGGCCGGGCCTGATTTCTGGTTTGTTTATTTACAGTGCTTGCTTCTCACGTTTCTGTACCTCCAGAATCCGAAAACTATATTTCTGCAGAGAAATAGTACTGTGAGCTGTAGAAAAAGGAGCAGGATCGTTAAAACTCAGGAGCATGATTTACTGAAAACAATGGCTGCTTCCAGATGAGAATTTAATCACCTTGACTTCATTCATGGAATTTAGTCTTGTGTAGACATCCAATTGTTGAAATCCACCTTATTCTTCCTATTGCTTCCATTTTTTTTCTTTATTAGAAAAAAAAAAGGAAAGGAAGACAGAATAGTAGCATATTGGCTTTTAAAGTCATCAGGAAACATCCTTCTGGCAGCATCCAGTAATAAAATTGTTGAGCATGCTAGACTAGGCTAAAATGGGATTAGATCATTTAGTTCCATGTATTGTGGAAACTCAGCCATTATCTCAGCATATTGTAAGCACCAGGCTGTCAACTTTAAACCAAACATGATATGAGCATATAGTAGTATGATATATAATATGCAGCAAAGTAGCATATTTATTAAACCTGTTTCCTTTACTAATTGTTGAGCCTAGCAAGGAAAGTCTTGAACAAAATATTCAAATGCTGTGACACATCTATACCAAGAAAGATTAGAATTGTGCAGACAATGGTATTGTCTGTGACACCCTGTATATGCAGAAGTTGGACTTCGAAGAGCCAGACAGGAGTATTGAAGGTTTGAATTTTGGTGCTGGAGAAGACTCTTAAGGATAGCCAGGAAAACAAGTGGTTTCTAAAACAAGTCAATCCAGACTTCTTACTTGTGGAACAATTAATCAGATTCAAACTATCATACTTTGGGAAGACCCAGCTCTCTTGAGAAATCCATAATGCTGGGAAAAGTGGAAGGGAAAAGAGGACGATCAGCAGCAATGGATGGACTCCATTATAACATAAGTGAATGCATCATTAAGAGACATAAAAAGCCAGTCTGAGGACAGATCATCCTGGAGAAAAGTCTTATCTGTGTGGTCACTAAGAGTTGACATTGACTTGGCAGCACATAATAATCTTGTTTTAAATAAACAAACTTTCATGGCATCTGACTCAGCCTGGAGTGCATATATAAAACTATGTACCATCAACTTGTGATATGACCTGCACTTACAGTGGTTTCATATATATGTTAAACAATACTGGGGAAAGGATCAAGTACATGATTACCCATTAGGCTGCCCTCTATTCCCCCATTGACACTGACTGGAACTGCCCACTCATGAAAGAATGGGACAGCTGAAGCACATTGCCCTTAACAGCAACCTTAAAAAGCGGTCAGAGGATACCTTGGTTGATAGTACTCTCATGCCACTGAGCAGTCAAAAAATACCCGGAGAACTGCACTCCCCCAATGAGGTCCCAACAAAGATGATCCAGCAGGGTAACCAATTTCATTACTGTCCCATCCCCAGGTCTGAATCCAGACTTAAAAGAATCCAGATAATCTGTTTCTTCAAGAGCACTGTGTGGCTAACTCTTCACCACATTCTTAACAACCTTCTCTAGGTTAAGGTTAAAGACTGGGCAATAGTGGTCCAAAATTCCCAGGTCAAGGAGGGCTTCTTGAGAAGTAGGTATTTCCTTCACAGCAGGTGGTAACATCCCTTCCGTCAAAGAAGCATTGTCACCTTTTGAACTGATCCTGTCACAGTCTCCCTGTCAACCTGAAGGAAGGAGGAGGAGCATGGATCAAGCCCATAGGTGGTAGAGGGTACACTGCAGAGCATCCTCTCCACTTTATCAGAGTCTACAGGCCCCAAAGAATTCCAGATAACACTGCAAGAGGTTGTTCCAGGCATCACATCAGATTCTGCCCATGAAAGCCAGCATGAAGATTAAGCTGTTGTGTTGCCCATAAAACTCGGGCACCCAAGTTGGTGTGGAGCTGGAAAGAATCTAGTCCCTGAATTTGCAATACCTTTCCAAAGTGGCTTTTTAGCTCCCCGACAATACAAACCACAAGCACTTCAGGCAATGCAAAAAAGCGTTTATTAAGGGAGGTCAAGTCTTTTTATGGAGCACAGAACAAATGATAACATACATTCAATATATGATAGGTGTATGTAAAAGCAACAGATAATTAATGTGCAACAAAGGCTTTGTTTTTGTTAAACGTGAGAAAAGGCAAGCATCCTTAGATAAAATTCCTCAAGTCGCAGAGTTATGTGTCTTGAGATAGCTGATGGTCACAGGAGCCCCTTTGTCTCTTGTAAAATATGTTGCATCTCCTCCTTTCCCATCCGGGTTTGTTTCTTTCTTAGCTTTGATCAAGGACTTTAGAATACAGTCCAATTGTTTTGATAGCTGAAAAGGCTAGTTTTTGCACATCAAAGGATGTGTCTTTGGCTCAAAGGAAAAACATGGTTTCCTAAAATTAAACCCTAAAATTCTATACAGCAGTTGGACTAGGAGCAGGGACATCCTCAACCAGTTCACTGGGTGACTTTGGGCGAGCCACTATCTCTCATGCTGGATAGGGAATTTTGGGAGTTGAAGTCCACACATCTTAAAGTTGCAGAGGTTGAGAAACACTGCTCTAGGCTACAGGAAAACCCCCTATGCAGGATATTCTTATATTTCTTGTTAAGGTCACCAGAACTTTTATTCAATTAACCCCACTGTCTCTATTCACAAGAAGGGATCACCCAGGCCGGGATTGCAAAATATCCAAATCTAAAGCAGAGTTGGCTGCTCTGCGGTTCCCTGTCACTTGCAAACATTTTGAAAGCTTTCATCCCCTGTTCTTTGTAAACAATTGTTTCTGGCTTAGCATAAGCACCCAGACAACTGCGGTCTATTCGTGGCTCCCTGCAACGTGTGAATCCAACTGACGCGTGCCATACGTGTCTCACTGCCTTCTGAAGTCTCCCCCGCCCCAACCTTGCGGCAAAGGACCAGGATGGACAGCACACGCGGGCAGTTTTCCTTTTGCTCTCTTCCGAGGACTCCAAGAGAGCCAGGGAGAAGATTCCCACCCCAGGGTGGGTTCTGCCGTCGGCTGGAGGAGGACAAGCCCAAGCAGGCTGCGAGAATCACCTTCCTAAAAACAAATCGGAAGAATTCAGGACACGGACACGTGAACGGCCAATTCACACGTGATCCCCCCCCCGGCGAGTCGAGCGCAACCTCCCGGCCGCGAGGCGCGTGCGCGGTGCCTCCCTGTGAGGGAGGCGAGAACATGGCGGAAGCGGAGTGAAGGGTTCGTACGCCGAGCGGGTGCGTTTTCTCTCGCGCGGTCCGGGGGAGCGGCCGACCGACCGGCGCGGGAGGGGAGCCTGGCCGGCGGGGAGCGGGGGCTGGCGCGGAGCGATCCGCGAGGCGCCCGGCCGCGGGGATGGAAGGCCGGGCAGAGGAAGCCGCTGGGCCCTGGTTTCTGTAGACCCTCTTTCCCCAACCAGGCGCCCTCCAGAGGTGCGCGCACACTCCCTGTGGCTGCGGGCTCGGGAGCTGCGATCCCGGCGCCGGTCTGGAGAAGGTGGCATTGGCCCAGCCTTGCATGAAGGGAGAACCCCAGGCCGGAGGTTGGCCCGGGCAGTCAGACGCCTAGGGAACTACGCCTGAGCCGCGTTATTTTTCTTGTGGGGCTCCGGCTCCTTTCTTAAGGGCACTAACAACTCCTGCAGTCTAGTACTGGGGGCCAGAGATGAAAGCTGCCCCTGTGTAACAGCCCCACGTGGAATGGCCTGGCCAGGCCACGCAGGATGGTGGGTTTGACAAAAATGGCCTGAAGATGCCCTGGAAGAGAAAGAGAGAAACACGCACAAGGACACACCTACCCACACCCCTTTACCTGAGTTGCCGAGGTGGCACCACTATTCCTTTTCCTAGAATTAAAATGAAGTGGGTGCTGGCTAGAAATTGAAATTTGTACTGGGCTCAATCTCTAGGTCTCACTGATGGGATAAAGTTGCAACTGTTAAATCTATGTTTGCTGGGCTTGTCATGGACTTAAATTGTTCTTTGTTGTTCAGTCGTTAAGTTGTGTCTGACTCTTCGTGACCCCATGAACCATATTGCGCC